TTCGCGCCTCTCTCCCCCCTCTGGGGTTTGTCCGTCGATGGCGGACTGCGGCAAATCTATTGCTTTCAACTAGCGCGAAAACTTGATCAAGAAGTTTTGTTCGTTCTGGTCTTCCCACAGAGGGCGCCAATTGTACGAGCAAGAAATAATTCTTCTCGTATGATCCTGTTGATCAAGCTTGCACTCCTCGAAACATCGTCGCTTTACTCTCTGAAAACACAAACGTGAGCTAGCCGGCAGGTGTGTGCCAGATACCTTTCCGATGCCTAAGTCAGTAAAATAGACAAATAGACAAAAGCCCTATGTATTCGAGAATCAAAGTTGTTTTACCTCTCCATAGGTGATGTTGTGAGCTCTTATAGGTTCCGCATGGCACAATCCCAGTAGGACTCTTATTCCTCCGTGTAGAGTCCTCCAAGGAGCCACACCCCTTATCTTTCAACACCCCCCTCACTGCTTAAACCAAGTGAGATGGTTTTACTTCGGTAGTATGACAAAATGACCGAGATAAAACAACCATGCTAAACTGGCTGAAATGACCGAGCTCTAGCTAGTTCGGTTCTCTCCTCTGTTACTTGTACTTCGGTTTCACCTGTTCAGACTGTGCTATCCATAGTGTGCCTAGACCGAGCTATTCAACAGCAAGGTCCTGAGAAAAGGCCCAAAATACCTCGGCTCAATATGGTTTGACCGAACTAACTATCACCGCTCTAACCATGCTGACCGAGCTAACTACAAAGCTCTTTTGGACCGGGCTAACTTCAACGCCTTTTTACTCCGTCCTTACTGTGGCCCACATAATGGCCCATTACCCAACTGGCCCAATTTACATATAAATTACCCTCTCAAGTCCAATCCATACTGGCCTTAAACTCATCAGGGATTATGTGCATGAAATTAATTAGGCTTTTCAATCTCCTCTTCACCCCGAATTTTCTTTACCTAAGCTAATAAAATGGTGTTTTCCTACTGTAGGCACATTGAAGCTTAACACAGATGGCTGTTCAAAGGGGGATCCAGGTCAAGTAGGTTATGGAGGTCTCTTGTGGGATGATACAGGCATTTGGATATGGGGCTACTACGAATACTTGGGACACTGCACATGCTTGGAAGCAGAAATTTGGGCCATCTACTGTGGACTCACCATCTTGTTCCAGAAAGGGCTGACCAATGTGGTAATTGAAACAGATTCTGAACAAGCCATGCTCCAGATTCAACAAGGGCCACACCCAAACTCTCCTCTCAAGGCCCTCATTGAAGATGCCAAATTCCTCCTTCAGAGATGCCACTGTTCTATCCTCCACACCTTGAGAGAAGGCAACAAAGTGGCTGATCGACTAGCTGATTTAGGTGTAGCACAAGCTGAGCATGTAAAAATCCTTGAGGATCCTCCTATGGAGGTCATAACTCTCCTCATTGAGGATATGACTGGAGTGGCTAGGCTGAGGGAGAAGCCTCTGTTTGTAATTCTGAACTCCTTCTTCTTGTCTGTTTTCCTCATTTCCTTTGAATCAAAATATATATATATATATATATTTTTTTTTCTCACTTACTCTATTGACAGACAAGAAGAAGGAGTTCAGAATTACAAACAGAGGCTTCTCCCTCAGCCTAGCCACTCCAGTCATATCCTCAATGAGGAGAGTTATGACCTCCATAGGAGGATCCTCAAGGATTTTTACATGCTCAGCTTGTGCTACACCTAAATCAGCTAGTCGATCAGCCACTTTGTTGCCTTCTCTCAAGGTGTGGAGGATAGAACAGTGGCATCTCTGAAGGAGGAATTTGGCATCTTCAATGAGGGCCTTGAGAGGAGAGTTTGGGTGTGGCCCTTGTTGAATCTGGAGCATGGCTTGTTCAGAATCTGTTTCAATTACCACATTGGTCAGCCCTTTCTGGAACAAGATGGTGAGTCCACAGTAGATGGCCCAAATTTCTGCTTCCAAGCATGTGCAGTGTCCCAAGTATTCGTAGTAGCCCCATATCCAAATGCCTGTATCATCCCACAAGAGACCTCCATAACCTACTTGACCTGGATCCCCCTTTGAACAGCCATCTGTGTTAAGCTTCAATGTGCCTACAGTAGGAAAACACCATTTTATTAGCTTAGGTAAAGAAAATTCGGGGTGAAGAGGAGATTGAAAAGCCTAATTAATTTCATGCACATAATCCCTGATGAGTTTAAGGCCAGTATGGATTGGACTTGAGAGGGTAATTTATATGTAAATTGGGCCAGTTGGGTAATGGGCCATTATGTGGGCCACAGTAAGGACGGAGTAAAAAGGCGTTGAAGTTAGCCCGGTCCAAAAGAGCTTTGTAGTTAGCTCGGTCAGCATGGTTAGAGCGGTGATAGTTAGTTCGGTCAAACCATATTGAGCCGAGGTATTTTGGGCCTTTTCTCAGGACCTTGCTGTTGAATAGCTCGGTCTAGGCACACTATGGATAGCACGGTCTGAACAGGTGAAACCGAAGTACAAGTAACAGAGGAGAGAACCGAGCTAGCTAGAGCTCGGTCATTTCAGCCAGTTTAGCATGGTTGTTTTATCCCGGTCGTTTTGTCATACTACCGAAGTAAAACCATCTCACTTGGTTTAAGCAGTGAGGGAGGTGTTGAAAGATAAGCATTATCTTTCAGGGGTGTGACTCCTAAAAGGACTCTACGCGGAGGAATAAGAGTCCTACTGGGATTCTGCCATGCGGAACCTATAAGAGCTCACAACATCACCTATGGAGAGGTAAAACAACTTTGATTCTCGAATACATAGGGCTTTTGTCTATTTGTCTATTTTACTGACTTAGGCATCGGAAAGGTATCTGGCACACACCTGCCGGCTAGCTCACGTTTGTGTTTTCAGAGAGTAAAGCGACGATGTTTCGAGGAGTGTAAGCTTGATCAACAGGATCATACGAGAAGAATTATTTCTTGCTCGTACAATTGGCGCCCTCTGTGGGAAGACCAGAACGAACAAAACTTCTTGATCAAGTTTTCGCGCTAGTTGAAAGCAATAGATTTGCCGCAGTCCGCCATCGACGGACAAACCCCAGAGGGGGGAGAGAGGCGCGAAGGTTTGCCTTTTATCCCTCCCATGGCGGATTTAGAGCCCCAGTGACAGAACCCCCGGAGGGATGCAAGGGGGAGGCGGACTAACAGCCCCCGTCGCTCTCAAAGTCCAGAAAGACAAAGGCGGAGGATCGATCCTCAAGTTCTGGAGGATCGCGTAAAGGAACAAGACGAGTTAATCAGGAAGATAGCGGCAGACATGGAATTGATGAAGCGCCAGATAAAAGGGAATGAGGTGGCGACGGGAGAGGGGCGCAAAGGCAATACGCCCCCTCGCCACTCTGAAGATCATGGTAGGCATACCACGCCGTCGCAAGCAGAGAATAGAAGCCTCAGGACGGGCGACACTCAATCAAGGACTTCCAGAACTCGTTACTCCAGGTCTGAGAGAACGAGATCATTGAGGTCTTACACTGAGGGAAGTACCTATCGAAAACTATTAAATAATTAAAAAAAATCATCTCACATTATTATTTACATAATGTTTACGTTAAATAAAAAATCACAAAAATTACGTAACATAAGTGAATTAACATGGTCCTCCTATACAATTTTCAGTACATTATTAATTAAAACACTGCATTAATAATATGGCATAAAATATCCCATAACTACTCAATTTTTATCTCATTATCACTTACGTAACTAGATATTCAAAGCATTTCCCATCACTTTAATAGCTCAAAGAGTGAAAATTTTAGCAGACAAGGAAAATGAAAATCCACGTGGACTCAAAAAAAGACATGTGAGGCCAAAACGTAGGGCCTTCAAAGTTGTCTAAAGGACATTTTATCACAATTATCATGTAAAATATTATGAATTTCAGATGATTTATTAAATTTTTTATTAAATTTTATGAATTTCAGATGATTTATTAAATTTTTTATTAAATTTTATGAATTTCAGATGATTTATTAAATTTTTTATTAAATTTTATGAATTTCAGATGATTTATTAAATTTTTTATTAAATTTTATGAATTTCAGATGATTTATTAAATTTTTTATTAAATTTTATGAATTTCAGATGATTTATTAAATTTTTTATTAAATTTTATGAATTTCAGATGATTTATTAAATTTTTTATTAAATTTTATGAATTTCAGATGATTTATTAAATTTTTTATTAAATTTTATGAATTTCAGATGATTTATTAAATTTTTTATTAAATTTTATGAATTTCAGATGATTTATTAAATTTTTTATTAAATTTTATGAATTTCAGATGATTTATTAAATTTTTTATTAAATTTTATGAATTTCAGATGATTTATTAAATTTTTTATTAAATTTTATGAATTTCAGATGATTTATTAAATTTTTTATTAAATTTTATGAATTTCAGATGATTTATTAAATTTTTTATTAAATTTTATGAATTTCAGATGATTTATTAAATTTTTTATTAAATTTTATGAATTTCAGATGATTTATTAAATTTTTTATTAAATTTTATGAATTTCAGATGATTTATTAAATTTTTTATTAAATTTTATGAATTTCAGATGATTTATTAAATTTTTTATTAAATTTTATGAATTTCAGATGATTTATTAAATTTTTTATTAAATTTTATGAATTTCAGATGATTTATTAAATTTTTTATTAAATTTTATGAATTTCAGATGATTTATTAAATTTTTTATTAAATTTTATGAATTTCAGATGATTTATTAAATTTTTTATTAAATTTTATGAATTTCAGATGATTTATTAAATTTTTTATTAAATTTCTCGTATAGTTATGGGATCCACACAAACTCACATATGTGTGAGTCCTACATCTATGCAAAAAATTTGATAGAAAATTTAATAAATCATTTAAAATTTCTAACATAACTTTAATTGTCATATCAGGTACAAACCAGCACAACATGCTACATGGCAAATATCAAGAGATGGACATTCATCTAGAATCATTTAAAGTTGTATAAAACTTCTAGCCCAATTCACCACCAGCCACCCAACTTCTTTCCCTTTTCCTTCACATATAATCATCTCTCTCCTCTCATTCATTCCCTCACCATCACCAAAAACACTACTTTCCTTCCATGGCTAGCTTGAGCTTCATCATTGGCATTATAGGTTTGCCTAATTTCTTTTACATGAAAAACTTTTTGAATATATTTAATTTCTTCTATTGCTAGTCTTTGTTTTTTTTTTTCCTTCTTCTTCTATTAGTACTTGGTAGAGCATAATATGGTGATATATTATATCTTTTTGCAGGGAATATAATCTCTATACTAGTTTTTGCTTCTCCCATGTAAGTATATACTTGACTTTAAAAATAACAAAATGATAATTTCCTTTATATGAAATTCTCTGAGATGTGTTAAAGTACTATATACATGATTGAACAGGTTGATATATTCTTCCTTTATTCAAAGTGGCATATAGTTTTTATCCATTTCATACTTTAAGAGCTGAGAAAATATTATAATAATGCATATAGTTTTTATCCATTTCATACTTTAAGAGCTGAGAAAATATTATAATAATTGAGTAAGTGGTGAGATTCAAATTCATAATTTATTATCCGGTGTTATATATGACAAATTATTGATCAGTATTAACAACATAAATACTAAATTATCTTTCATAATAACTTAATTTTTTATGTGAGTTGATGGTTAGTTAGAACAGATCATGTGTTATTCAAACATCACAATCTATTTGGTAATTAAAATATTTGCATGTGTTTGGCTTGCTTATGAGGAGGATGCATGAGGTGCGTGCTAATGATATAAATAATACAATTACCTCTCTTTCATTACTCAGAGAAAACAATTTTATTAGTAATTTATATCATCAAAGTATGACTACTAGACTAAAAGCAATTAAGTTAAATTACATCATTAATCCTTCTAATCGGAGCAAAGTTTCACTTTAAGTCCTCTGCACACGGGTCGATTCAGATCAGGTTGACCAATCAATCTATAGCTAATCGAACAGATTCGGATTGGGAGAATTAATATCTGATTTCGACCGGGTGATGGTTCGAAACCCTCCGTGCATAGGAATCGGGTTGACGGTCGAATTCGGTCGGTTTCATGGGTTGGACTGTGCCCATAAAATTAGTTGGGCCAAACCATTAGTAATTTTATTATGAAAACTGTTTGATAAGCCTCTCAAAGTATAGTTATTCTCATTGATTTGAGTGTATTGTTTGTTTTGAACTTTCAAATCATAATTTTATATCAATTTTTCAAAACTCAATTAAAAACATAATCATTATTTTTCAAAACTCATAATCAAACACATAATTCAAAACTCAATTCAAATCAATATTTTAATTTTGTTAAGATTTTAAATATTTTAATATTTAAATATGTTACGATTTTTTTAATTTTTTGAATATTTTTAAATATTTTAATTTCAAAATATTACGATTTTAATTTTTTAAATTTTAAAATATTTTATAAAAATAAATTCAAACTCTATTTTACAAAAATATTTTTAAATATTTTAATTTTTTTGTTATGTATTTGGTTACGATTTGAGTGTAGGGTTGTGAAAGTAGTATGGAGTTTCAAGTTATGTATTTGGTTATGAGTTTTAAAAATAATTTCTTAATTGAGTTTTGTTTTCTGTGTTTGGCTACGATTTAAGTGTAGAGTTGTTTTTAAATTTAAAATATTAACATTTTAAATTATTTAATTTTTTCGAATATTTAAATTATTTAAATTTTTACAATTTAAATTTTAAAATTATTTCCTTTGTAGTATTTTCAATTAAAAAATTGATTAATGTTATTTTCTATTAATAATAAATTTTTTTAATTGAATTTTAAAAACAGTTTGGTTATGAGTGTTGATCAGAATTTTCAATAATGTGAAAGTAGTATGTTTTGTTATGAGTTATAATAATTTGTATTAAGTTTTGAAAACTCTTTCCAAAACTCATAACTAAACAAATTTTCTTACTTTACATGTCAAATCAAATTTTAAAACTCAATTCAACACTCTATTTAAAAATCATAATCAAACAAATTTTCTACACTCAAATCATAATTCCACAACTCACAAATTCAAAATATCACTCATACTCTCAAATCATATTTACAAAATTCTACCAAACGCAACCAATATTTTACATGATTTTTAATTTATTACCAAGTTACAATATTAGAAATTGTAAAAATAGACAATTTTACAATTGAAAGTATAATTAGCAAAAAAATATTAAATTTATAATTTTACAATTCTAAAAAGCTATCATAATAAAAAGAATTATTAAACAATAAATTCCAAACACGCATAATATGAATAACAAATAATTAACTAACAAATTTCATACACTACTTACTACCTGCTTTAAACCCAATCATATCAAGAAGAAAAACAATAATTTCAAACGTTTCACACAAACAAAAAAAAAAAATACAAATTGGTTCAAAGCTTCCAATTAACAAACAAAATAAGTAACTTAAGATCAACTATCAAGTTTTTTGATTAGCAACATCATCAAGACAACCTATCAGCTATCATGTTCATAATCAAAGTACAAAAGAAATATATAGTTATACTCTGCAACTGCAAAAATATTCACTACTTCCAAACTTGCCACTCTAGTTGCCAGACAAAAAACTTCAAAAAAATCAACCAACCAGAAGTTTGTAATTGCTTTTAATGATTACATTCATCCAACTATAGAACTGAAGCAATATTAATACAAAACATAGTAGAATACGAACAACTTGGATAGAAAGAATGGACAGAAAATACACAAAAAAAGACCATCATCAAACAGTTTGCCAAAGCAAAAAGAGCTCTGCTACAGAGCCCGAAAGGGTTTCGAGCCAAATTTGGCTCGAATTTGAGAAGAAGGAGGAAGAAGAAGAAGGGAAGGAGGGGGAGGGGGAGGAAGGACTGGAGGGGGCCTAAAAAATGGAGGAGGAGGGGCTGAGGCGAGGCAGACGCAATGGGCGGTGGCCGACGCGATCGGCGGAGGCGACGCGATCGGCGGCGGGAGGCGCAGGCGACGCGACCTCTCTCTCTCTTTCTCTCCCTCTCCCTCTCCCTCTCTTTCTCTCCCTCTTCCTCTGCATTGCAGAGGTCGAAAATGGCGGAAAAAAAGAAAAAAAAAAGAAAAAAAAAACGAAATGCCTAAAACGACTGGAAAATGTTTGAGGGCCCGAAATGCTTGGCTCGAATAAACGGAATGCCCAAAACGACGTCGTTTTGGGCATTCGGGGCATTCGAGCCAGGCATTTCGGGCCCTCAAACATTTTCCAAGCAAAAATGTATTATCAACAGGTATCAACCACCTGCAAGGAAAAACAATTTGATAAATAAGTAAACATAAATCAAAACAAACAACATAATATAAAATTAAAAAAGACTTCGATTTATTTACCAAGCTATGCTCCATTGTCATGCTAAACAATTATGGGACTTGAACTTGCCGTGACTATTTCATTAGGTTGGGCACCAACAGTGGCCGTTTCAGTAGGAGAATGATCCATTATCTAGACACAAAATATAACAATAAATATATTGCATAATATACATAAACAAATCAAACATGCTAATAAATTCCAATTTTGTAAACAAATAGTTAATACACTATTTTCTAAAAACTGATACATACAAAAACAAAGAGCATTATGCATTCTAATATGTTATAGCATTGAAAAATATAAATAAAAATGTGAATTACACTAATAGTCCCTATAGTTTGGGGCTTTTATCACTTTAGTCCTTGACTTTTCAATTGTGACACATTTGACCCTGAATTTTAAATCTTGTTCTAAATAAAGACAATTAAAGATACCATTTGATTTTTCAATAATAAAATTGTCAATTTGATAAAATATCAACTAATTTGACAAAATAAATATCAAAAAATATTTTTGAATTTTTAAAAATTATTTCTACCAACTAAAGATAAAATTATGTAAAACTGATAAATTTTTTAGACATTTATTTATTTTTTTTACCAAATTAATTTTTATTATGTGTTTGGATGATGATCATGTAAAATTAATTTTTAAAAATTAATCATGTAGTTTTTATTAATTTTGATCAATTTTACATAATTTTATCTTTAATGGATAGAAATAATTTTTAAAAAATTAAAAATATTTTTTTGACATTTATTTTTGTCAAATTAGTTTATATTTTATTAAATTGACAATTTTACCCTTGAAATTAAACAATTGTATCTTCAATTATCTTTGTTTGGAACAAGATTCCAAATTCAGAGTCAAATGTGTCACAATTGAAAAGTCAAAGACTAAAGTGACACAAGTCCTAAACTATAGGGACTGCTAATATAATTTGTCCTAAATAAAAGCATACTTACTTAATGAAAAACAAACAAATATACGAAGCTTGCAATTTTTAAAATAATATCAAACAAACAGATATAAAAACAAAAAAAACAAACATACACTTTAAGCTTTTAATTTAAAATAAAAAAATAAAAAATAAAAAATAAAAAAACAAAAAACAAAAAACATACACTTCATTCTTACTGAGTATATTTAAGGAAACAATCACTTCAAGCTTCAAACATACACATATAAGCATTCATTTTTATTTATTTTTTTTAAGAAAAATAAGTTACTTAAAAATCCTTTTTACATGTAGGGATTTTGTTAACTGGAAAAAAACAAAATAAAATTACAAAATAAATCTAAGGTTTCTAGCGATAAAAAAAAATTAAATAAAAAAAATAAATATATATATATATATAAAAGCATACTGGAACAAATATCATTCTAATATTTAGAGCATTGAAAAAACATGAACGATCCATTATCTAGCGCATAATATACATCAACTAATCAACTATGTTAATAAATTTCCATTTCGTAAGCAGTTAACACAATGATTTATTAAAAAACTAACACACATTTTACAAAGAAAAAAAAAACACACACACATGAGCATCAAAAACATTATAAAAAAATAAACAAATAAACTCATCCCTAGGGTTTTGGTCAGTAATAGAGCACCACCACCAACATTGGAGCCTCTAATTTGAAGGATAGATGAAACACCACGTAAAGTACCAGAAAGAGAGAGAGAGAGAGAGAGAGAGAGATATGGGTGAATCATAGTTGTAAAAAGATATAATGAGGGAAGAATGTGGGTTTACGTTACAGAGAGATTAGAGAAAGAGAGTGAGAGAGAGAAATATGGGGAAGAGGAGAGGAGATGATAGGTCTGCTGCTGCTGGGACAACTTTGCTTTGAAAGTTGGAGTATCATCATCAATATAGAAAGCTTCTTATGGAAGCTTTGCACTTTTTCCAAGAGTAATACAATTATATAGACATATATTATTTGCTGATAAAAAAAAAAAAAAATATATATATATATATATAGATATATATTAGAAATGTAGGAGTTGCTTGTGTTATAGATCTTGGTCGAGCTAGTTTTGTGTGCAATAATTTACATAAAACCGTTGCCGACGGCGAAATTGTGAAATTCAACCAAACTAAATTTGCAGCCGACCGGTTGAATGTTCAAAATCGTTCGTTTCCATTCGGTTCAGGTCGGTTCGAGCGGGTGGTTTGGGTTTCGGTTTTTCATGAACACACCCAAGTCCTCTTACGACTAGTTTGGCATGTACTAAATAAGTTAAAAAGTCAAAAAGTCACTATCTTATTTAAGTCACATCATCTTATTTAAATCACATCACCTCTCTAACACATCACATCAAACCCAACCCAAACCCAACCCAAACCCACCAATAAGTCAAAAAGTACACTTTTTTAGGACATTCCAAACCAACCCTTAGTTTCAAATTGAACAATTTCATCACCAATTTCAATTTTGTTGCAATGTGATCGCTACTTATTAACATTTTGAACGAAAAACGCAACTTACCACAAAAGGTCAGAGTAATTCAAATAGTAATTGCTTGCATGCATGTGTATTATGGTTCAGAGGAACATTCAAGGGAGTGGTGAAGAAGAAATCAACAGAGAATTACAACGGACTTCCATACATAACCACTCTGCTCAGCACATCTCTGTGGACTTTCTATGGAATTCTCAAGCCAGGGGGTCTTCTTATTCTAACAGTAAATGGCGCTGGTGCTGTCTTACAATTCATTTATGTCACTCTCTTTCTTGTCTATGCTCCAAGGGATATCAAGGTGAACCCAAAAAAAAAAAAAAAAAAATTCTGTTTTGAATCATTTAAGACATTCATGTCTGATTAAAATCCACCATATCTAAAAAAATAATTGGATTGACGTCTATTTATTTATTTATTGAGTGGTGCTATTCGCACATCTTTTCAGTAAAAAACACTTTAACACTTTTTGGCTTTATTAGGCCAAAATTGCATAATAAACACTATCGATTTTTGGTGAAAATGGGATCCAAATAAAACAACCTTTTTTTTAAAAAAACAAAGATAATCTTATTGTGTGGATACATCCATACAAGAGATTTAATAAATAAATAAACTTATTGTTAAAGTAGCATTAGTTATTAATTATCTTCAAATTATACACGTGTGGCATTCTCTCTAGGTGTTTAAAAATTTTACAAAAATACTAAATCAAAAAAATGAGGAAACGTTTTCAGTTATCAATTTTTTTCAATTAATTTTTTTATCAAATGTAATTTATTTTCAAAATTTGTTTTCAAGTAATGTTTTCCTCAAATAAATTTTTTTTCAATTTTTTTTTCAATTAATTTTTTTTTCCAATTAACCTTTTCGATCAAATATTTTTTTCCCAACTAATATTTTTAAATTAATTTTTTAATAATTTCCATTTCTTTTTCAAAGTTTTTCGAATTAGTTTTTTACCCAATTATTTTTGTCCAATTACATTTTTCATTCAATTATTTTTTTAATTAATTTTTGGTCATTTACAATGTGTGTGATTCCATTGTCATAAATAACGAAATTATGTAAAAAAGATTTGAAATCAAATAAGTTGCAATTCTGATTACTACAAGGCAACTATGTACCCCCCAAGAATTCAACAAAATTATTTGAAATCGTGATCAAATACATTATTTTTTTTATTGCATTTCTTAAATACTGATTTTTATTTTAGTTGGTTGAAGACAATTTTGTGCCATGTTTTTTACGTGATGTATTTGGGCACAATTATAGACTTTACAGTTAATGCATGTAATATGTGTGCCGAAATTCGTCATGACAATCTGTGAAATAGGAATTTTGCATTAACCATACACGCATGCAAAGTACGACGATTTCGAAAGTTTTTTTTTAAACATTCGTACATCTTCAAATATCTAAACAGTTTTGTACGTTATGCATACAAAAGTATAAAACAAGACAGGGATGACAGTTTTCACAAAACACATACTACGGAAAACATTAAAAGCAGTCATGGTAAACAACACTGTCCGACTACCTACCATTGCGCCGAATTTCGTATAACTCAGCCCTTATCCGATGACGCACCTCCGCCATTTCAACGTCCTCGTCCGTAGCCACCACGGCTTCGTCTAGGGCAGCCAAATCTGCGCGATCGGGAATATCGGCATACGTGTACTCCGCCGCATTTCTGACAGCAGCAATGGTCGCATCATCCTCGCAGTTTCTGCGTATGAAATTGTGTAATGCCATAGATGCAGCCACCAACGGCACCTGGACTCTACGAAAGTCAAACCGAGGCATATTGTGCAAGAATCTCCACCGCG